GTTTAATTAAATGTAAAGTTTTTACAAATCCAAAATGCCCTGCTGATTTTGTGTCATGGCAAAGGTGCATGAAAGTTACTCTTTGAGTTGTTGGTATATATAACTTTTCCCCTACCCAAGGCAACCCGTCTCTCATTGTGCACACATTTTTGTTTTTCTGGAACCATTCATCTGTTTCCAAACTTTTTCTGAATTCAATTCCAGTTTGGCTGTCCAGTTGTGGTTTTAATTTGGCTTGGGTTCTTGTGGTTACTGGTGCTGCCAGTTGTGACTCTGCCATTATTGGCCTAGAGTCTGTGGTTCGTGCGCTGTTATATTGGGGCATGCAAGATAGTGCATCTGCCAGGAAGTTCTTTCTTCCTGGTAAATGTTTGAGCTTAAATTGGAATTGGTGAAAATGCTGGGACCAGCGGGCTTGTTTGGGATTGAGTTTCCTGGAAGTTTTCAGGGCTTCTAAATTTTTGTGATCAGTCCACACCTGGAAGGGGATTTTGTTGCCTTCCAGGAACTGTCGCCACGTGAGTAATGCCCAACGTATCCCATAAGCCTCCTTCTCCCATACGGGCCAGCGCTGTTCTGTTTCCGTGAGTTTCTTGGATGTATATGCACAGGGTTGCAATACTGCATCATCATTTTCTTGTAATAGCACAGCCCCCACTGCCACATCACTTGCATCTGCCTGTATTACGACGGGCTTGTCCATGTCTGGGTGCCTTAGTATTGGTTCGGCAGAAAAAAGTCTCTTTAGTCTCTCAAACGCTGCTTGGCACTCCATTGTCCATGTTAGTGGCTGGCTAGGTTTTACTGAGGATGCTCCCTTCGTTTTTAGTAAGGTAGTGAGGGGCAAGGCTATCTGGGCAAATGAGGGGATGAATTGGCGGTAGAAGTTTGCAAAGCCCAGGAAACTTTGTAGTTGCTTTCTTGTGCGCGGTGGCGCCCAATCTAATACTGCTTTGACCTTCTCTGGGTCCATTTCAATGCCCTGTGGGGATATGCGATAGCCTAGGTAGTCTATCCTTTCCTGGTGGAATTCGCATTTTGAGAGTTTGGCATATAGGTGAGCGGCTCGCAGCTTCTTTAAAACCACTCTGACAAGTTTGACGTGTTCTTCTTTTGTTTCAGTAAAGATAAGAATGTAGTCCAAGTAAACAAGGACCCCCTTAAATAGGTGCTCCCTTAGAACATCATTGATTAATTGCATAAAGACTGCAGGGCCCCCTTGTAATCCAAATGGCAAGACTTTGAATTGATAGCACCCCATGGGGCAGTTAAATGCGGTCTTCCATTCGTCCCCTTCCTTAATTCTCACGCGATAGTAAGCTTCCCTTATGTCTAGTTTAGAAAAAAGTTTCCCTTTCGAGAGGTGTGACAGCATGTCTTTCATGAGGGGCAGAGGGTATAGGTTGCTTTCACTGATTGTATTCAGGGCCCTATAATCCACGCATAAACGTACGGAGCCATCCTTCTTCTCTCTAAAAAGGACCGGGGCAGCCACTTTAGGCTTGGCTGGCTCAATGAAACCTCTCTCTAGGTTTTTTTTTATAAATCTTTCCATTTCATCCTTCTCCTTTGGGCTCATGGAGTATAATCTGGGCTTCGGGAGTTTTGCCCCAGGCTTGAATTCAATGGTACAGTCTGTGGGTCGGTGGGGGGGAAGCTCATTCGCCCTCTCCTCACTAAAGACTTCAGCAAGGTCCCTATATTCCTCTGGTATTTCTGTTAATCTTTTTTCCTCTCCTATGGATGCTTTTTATATTCTTGATTCTGGTAGCCTCTCTTGGGGTTTTAAGTCCATAGGGTCCCCCTTCGGGAATTTGATTTCTGTCGTCCTCCAATTTACCCAGGGGTTCCATTTTTTCAACCATTCCATCCCTAGAATCATTGGGCATTCCATACCTGGGTCACCACAAACGTTAAGTCCTCTTCATGGTTGCCCAGGGAGAGATGTATTGGCAAAGTGGCTAGGGTAGCTGGCACCCCCCCTGCTATGGATCCATCTAGCTGGCCAAATGAGATTGGTTGTTCCAGTCTCATGGATGGGATGCCCAGATTCCCCACTAGTGTTGGGCTAATGAGGCAGCGGGTACAGCCAGAGTCTATTAAGGCTTTCACCTTCACAGCTTCGGGCATGGGGGGGATTAATATAGTCACTGTTTTGAAGATGGGTGTGATGCATCCACTTACCAGGGGTTCGCCTTCCGAGCTGTCATCTGAGGCATCCACCGACCCTGTGGTGTAGGCTGGAATTCTTTCTCCTTGGTGAGTAGAGGTGGGGGTTTCTGCAATTTCCATCATTCTCATGGCCGTTTCTTTTGGCTTAGCTGAAGACTTTCCGGATTTGTTGATTGGGGATCTGTCTGGGTTGTGCTGGGGGGCCTTTGAGCGGCATTCTACAGCTCGATGCCTTTCTCTTCCACACTTGAAACACCCCACTTGCTTCTTGGCTGTAGCCGATGATTTCCCCGGTTCGTGCGTCAGCTCAGGCGGGGGGAGGCTCCAGTGTTTTCCTCGGCGGTGCCTCTTCAATATGTCGATCTCTGCTTCCTCTGCCAAGACGTACCATGCCTCAAGTCGATGTGGGTCCCCTCGGGGCAGGCAAGCATCATATAGATCATAGTTTAGTCCGTCTTTGAAATGGCAAAGGAGGATGTCTTCTGGCCAATTCAGTTTGCTGGCAATGGCCCGGAATTCTTGGTTATATTCAGCCACCGGGCGTTTGCCTTGCCTCATCGTTTTTATCCTTTCACGGGCTTTGCGATCAGCCAGGGGGTCTTCAAATCGTCTTCTCAAAGAGGACATGAAACGGTTGAAGTTACTTGAGTTCTGGGGCATTGGAGTCATGCACGTTCACCACCCAATCTGCAGCCGGTCCATCCAGGGCAGATTGCACGATCCGGATGCGGGCTTTGTCGCTGGGAATATCCTGCCCATATTCCTCCATGTAGCTGAGTACTTGGGTTAGGAAAAACCCCAAGAGTGTTGGCTCCCCTTTGAATTTCACCTCCAACGGTGGACGTCTTGGAATGGATCGGTGCCTCTGTTGTTGGTGGTAATGTCTTCCGTCCAGGTTGCCATCTGTGGTCCGGTAGGGGGTGGGGGCTACTGGATCAGTAGCTGTCCCCGGGGTTGCAGGTTCCACGTCCCCCTCGGTGTTTCTCCCTTTGCGGCTCCAGGAGCTGGGGCGGCCGTAGGGCTCAGGATTCTCCTCTTCTAGGGATCTGAGAGTTCTCTTCATCAGGTCAATAGCTTTCTCTAGGATCCAGTCTGAGTACGGTGCCCAGCTTCCTCCCTCGTCACTTGCGTGCAGGGATTTCTCCATCTCCTGCTTCCATTCTGGTTGCTTGGTCCCCCGTCTCAGGGTCACCTTTCTTGATTCCTTTCCCCACTCACTTTTCTTTCCAACGCCCATCGACCAGCGAGGCTTGTGGTCCTGTGTCTACACCACTTCTTCTCCTGAGGAATCTGGCCTCTCGGATTCCAACATCTGGCAAGGTTCCAACTGGGTCAGCGGCTCTCTTTCCAGGGAGTTTTCCCCCTCTCTTGCTCCATTGTCTGACATGGTAAAATTTTTGCAAAATCCCCCAGCAAGGGTCTCCCTTCCAGGTGGATTAATTTTGCAAGTCCTGTCTAATGTAAGGACCCACCCCACTTTGCATCTTAAGACAGAACTCTTGGAATAATTCTTCCAACAGGAATCCTTTATTAAGAAGAAGTGGTTGCAGGCGTGCTAGACAGGACTTGGGGTCCAAGCCCTCCCATTCAAGGTTTTAAGGGGTTCCCCAGTAGTCCCACCCAATCACCCCCCCTTCCAGTGATAGTTTCAAGTATCACAATTCCACCCCCTTTTTTCTTTCTTCCGTCTGGATGGAGACTTCAGATAAACTACATGAAAGGCAAATAACCTTCTTTGTTATGGTAAGGTTCTTTGGTGCTAACGCTTTGAGGTTACAATAAACACACATTCAGCATTCAGCTCCTTAGAAGGATACTGAAGGAAGTGAGGGCCATAAAGCCCCTTTGTTCTCCCCCTTCTCTCCCTCTTATGGCAGAATCCAGAGAAGGCAGAATTGGGAGTTTCTATATTTGATAATTAAAGATGAAATATAATTGGATTCTGACATCCGGTGAAGCTGGAAGTGCATAACGTTTTGGTCTATGTGGCATCTGTCTATTTGGACAGGCCAAGAGCTGAAGACTTTCTAGCCAGATCAGTTCTGTTATCTGTGTGGCAAGGTTGGGCCACTTTACTTGGTTGACAAAGTTCTTATTTGTTGGCACATGTTGCCATTGTTCAGGGCTTAAGGATGTTTCAATCCTTTTCTCTCTGTTGCTTACAGGGATGTAGAAGTGTCCACTTTGTTTGCAGATGTAGCTTGACATCACCTTGCTGTCTGCGTAGAAGGTGGTGGACTGTAGTTCAAGGCACAACGTCTTTGCTGTCAAGTTGGTCAGCTTTACAGCCAAAGTGGTGCCATATAGCTGTACCCTTGGTACGGTGTGGCCTTGTTGCATTGTTAGTCTTGCTTTTCCAAAGAAGACACTGAGTAATTATATTTTATATTACATTACATTATAATATTTAGTATAGTATAGTATAGTATAGTATATTATTACTGTCATATTTATATTGTGTTTTTTCATGAAAGCATCAAGGTAATGTGCAACAGATATAAATAAAACCATCCCCCAAATTTTAAAGTAGTATTTAAACCATTAAAACAAAATCAATGCATGCTATATAATATTGTCAACTATACTTTTTATAAAATAAGCATTTTCTTTTTTGATTTTGGCTACCAGTTTTAGTAAAGCATTACAACACTTAAGACTTGGATCTTTAGTACTGTCACTAACATTATTTACAACATAAAAACTAGTATAGTTGTTTGTATAAATGTCATAAAATCTTGTCTAGCATTTTGATAAACATATTTAATAAAAAATGTTCTCCTACCACATCCAGCTTTGCCCAAGCCTCATAATCATAAGATTTTATCTTGTTTTTTTTGTTTTCCTCACTTGTTTGTTTTGAGACTGTTTTAACTTTGCTCTTCTTTTTTTTGTAAGCTTCATTCCGAATAGGGGGTAAATCCTAATAACAAAAAATATAGCAGTATACTTTCAAAAAACTTTTGACAATTAATATATGACATCCATTTATAAAACAATGTAAAATCAATGCTAGCTTTTTTCTAGAAGACAAGGGTCCAAAATATTAGCCACTGGAAATTGGTTCTCCATGGGAAAAACCATAAAGAATTCCGAACACTTCAGCAAAAATCCCAAACCAATGATTCAATACAAAATGGTAGAACTAAAAGGCAATTCCACTTTCTTAAATTGAACATTGACAATTTGTCCTAACAGAAGAGGTTTGCTCCTCACATTTTAACAATGTGGTAGAAATACTCTAGACAGGTAGAAATAGTAGAAATACTCTAGACTAGCTAAAGGACTCATCTAAGATGTGGAGACAAACTTTTGAATTTAAAATATCCTGTTCCACCCTCCCTAGTATTGTTTGATTTTCTTCACTGCAGAGACAGCGAGGAAAAATTGTAGCAATTTCTACAGCATTTTAAAAGGAATACATTTTTTATTTTATGACATTCTATTTAGATCTATATCAAGAAAGTCCATCTGTCCTTTACCCCTAGTCTCTGGCACACAGGCAATATAACTGAAGCCTATATACATGTTTCCCTGAATGTAAGCCCCCCCCCAGAAAATAAGCCCCAGCTTGATTTTCGGGGGTGGGCCTAATATAAGCCCCCTCGAAAGCCCTAGTTTGGGGGTGAGGGTGGGGGTAGGGGGGTGAAGCTGCTCCACGTGCTTCACACCCACTCACCTTACTGGTAGGACCGCCACAGCCAGGCCTCCTATGCCCCGACACTTGTCAAGCCATGTGGCTTGTCATGCCAGTGCCACTGCTTGCGGCTGGAGGTTGCACAGTGCTTCAGGCTGTTGCTGTCGCTCACGGCAAGCTGAGCAGCTCTTCGGGCCATTGCCATTGCTCACAGCACCACATGGCACTTCGGGCCCTTTCCGCTGCTCACAGGAAGAAGCCGAGCAGCTCTTCATGCCACTGCCATGCCACATGGTGCTTCGGGCCATTTCTGCTGTGAGAGATGACAATGGCCCGAAGAACTGCTGGGCTGAGCAGCGGAAATGGCCCAAAGAGCCACGTGGTGTCCTGCTGCGAGTGACGGCAATGGCCCAAAGAGCCGCTCAGCTTGCCATGAGCAGCAGAAATGACCCAAAGCCACCTCCTGCCACAAGCGGCGGCACTGGCGTGACGAGCCACACAGCGTGATAAGTGTCGGGGCATGGGAGCCCTGGTTGAGGCAGTCCTACGGTAAGGTAAGCAGGTGCAGGGCGCATGGGGCTTCACACTCCCTACCCATTAGAGTAGCAATGGCGCAATGCGCCACATGGCATCCAGCCGCAATTGGTGGCAAGTGGCTGCTGAAGAAGTCAAACAGTGACACAACAGGTGTTGGGGTGTGGGAGGCCTGGCTGTGGTAGTCCTAAGGTAAGATACCCCCCCCCAAATAAGACCCAGTGCCTCTTTTGGAGGCAAAAAAAGTATAAGACCAGGTCTTATTTTCGGGGAAACACGGTAGGTGATTTATATGTAATTCTATTTAAAATCAAATGATCTAGTTAACAAACTATATTTCAAGATGTCTTTATTCATTCCATTATCAAATCACCAGTCTTACTTTTTTGGCAGTGTCACTCTGATGCCTTAAATCATGATCTTTTTCTTTAATATCCTTCTCCCATGATTCCAAATCTTTCACAAAATCTTGAAGTTCCTCAGCATTTTGTCGTATTTGCAACTGTAACTCAATTGCTTTATTTGGTGAACTCATCTGATGAAAGAATGCATTGGAAAACAGACATAAGATGCATTCTATAAGAATCACAAACAAATTTCAGCTTTAAAAAAGAAAAATAAACATATTTTTTGGCACAATATTATGCAAATCACATGTTCTTACTGTGGAAAAATCAGCCTACCAGTGATTATTACAATACTTCAGGTGTAAAAATAACACAAGCAAACTGAAATCATCCAGGTTCAAAGCCTTTTTCAAAAATAGCTGTCCTATTGCATTTTCCCTTTGGATGAATTAAATCTGCTGTAAGAGAATATCTTAGCATCTTATAAAGAACCCTGGTACAGAAACTCATGTCCTGCCAACCTAACTTGGCCTTGTCAAAGTTCTGCAAAGTTTCTCTGACAACTGTCCTATCACAGCTAATCAGGTTTCTAGTTCACCTGAAAATAAATCAGCCCCCCAAGTGGGAATCAAACCAGAAGCACAAATGCTGCCCATGCAAGCATTTTTTTAACTGATATGGAACAACCCACTTTTTAACTTTTCACTCAGATGGGAAATAATTAGAACAAATCATGGGCACAACTTATTTTTATATACAAGTTAGATTGATATAAGGATGCCTTGTTTCTGTACATATCCATTCATATTCTGTGGCCTCAATGATTACCGTCCAGTTGCACTGACATCCACCATCATGAAATGCTTTGAGAAGCTGTTAAAGGACATTATTGTATTTAGCCTCCTGCCAGAATTTGACCTGCTTCAGTTTGCCTACCGACCAAATAGCTCTACGGAGGATGCTATTTCTTCCGTTCTCCATCTGAGCTTGAAGCACTTCGAGAAAAGAAATACTCATGTACGTTTGTTGTTTGTCGACTTCAGTTTGGCGTTTAACACAATCATTCCCCAACATCTAGTAGACAAACTGGGCCTTTTAGGATTAAACACTCCTTTGTGCAACTGGATTCCCGATTTTCTTACCAACCAGGCCCCAATATGTGCGAGTTGGAACAAATACCTCTAATACCATTTTCTTGAGCACAGGAGGGTTCTCCTCAGGGCTGCGTCTTAAGTCCGCTGCTGTTCACCCTGTTGACCCATGACTGTTGTGTTAGGTTTGCCACCAACCATATTGTGCAGTTCGCAGATGATACAACAGTAGTGTATCTTATTCAGGATGACAAGGTGGAAGCTTACCGCAAGGAGGTTGAGGGGCTGGTGAACTGGTGTAAGGAAAACAGCCTAGTTTTAAATACCGGAAAAACCAAAGAGACCATTGTTGCTTTCAGAAAAGGCAGGCACAGTCACACTTCTCTGTGCATTAATGATTCACCTGTGGAGATGGTTACCAGCATCAGATTCCTGGGTGTGCAGCTAACGAGTAGGCTGACTTGGTCGCTCAACAGTGAGAAACTGGCAAAGTGGGCATAGCAGCACCTGCATTTTCTGCATCGCATGAGAAAAGCACATCTTCCTTCCCCTGTCCTGACTACTTTCTACATGGGGACGATCAAGAGCATCCTGTCATACAGCATCACAGTCTGGTTTGGAAGCATCACTGCTTCAGACAGTAAGACGGTACAGAGAGTGGTGAGAATGGCCGAAAAGATCATTGGCAGTTCCCTCCCTCCCATCCAGGACATAACACAGAAGCGTTGCTTGAGCAGGGTCTATAAGATTATCTGGGACACTACACATCCTCTTCACGACCTGTTTTCCTTGTTACTTTCTGGGAGGAGGCTTCGTGGTATTCGTAGCAGAACATCCAGATTCAGCCATAGTTTCATTCCATACAGCATTAACCTTCCTCCTTCCATTATATATTCAAGATGGACAGTATTTAATACTTATTTGCTACTTATATGTAGGGGTGTGAGTCTATACATATGTTATTCATAGTATGTTTAGGTGTGTCATGTATGTGTTTCACTTTGAGAGCAGGCAACTAAATTTCATTTTTGATATGTACTGTTGTGCCCACAGTAAAAAAATGACAATAAAGATTATCTTATCTCATCTCATCTCATCAAGCCCACCACTTTGGCGGGACTTTCCTTTTTAAAGGATAGGTTAAAAAAAAGAGATGTGTATGATGGGCATAAAGGAGGGGAGGGCGAAGCGGGGAAGCTCCTGATACATTACAGTATTCCCACAGTGCAAAAGAATCCTCCTTGATGCGTCCTGTGAATGCTGAACATCACCCTCCAAAAATAACTTTTCCGATTGGGTCGGAAAGGCAAACAAGCCTCGCAGTTCCCGGTTTTTCATAAACACCCAGGAAAGAAGCCATTAGCCCAACCTCAATGCGCTTTGCTTCCTCAACCCCCACCCCCAGCCCGGCAACAGTAGCGGAACGGCCCCAACCTCTGCGAGTGCAAATACCTCTCATTCTTTTGCTGTTTCGAAGCCCGTCTTGCTTTCCTTTCCCAAAACACCCAGAGCGCCAAGCGAAGGGAGATGCGTCGCCGAGGCAGCCTTTCTAGAAGAAAAGACTTCCAACTTCTATGGTCTAAGTTAGGTAGAAAGAGAGAGTGAGAAAGAGCGTCCACAGTTCCTCCCCCCCCCCCATCTCTCCGCATGCGCGTTCTGGTGCATTGGGTATCGTGTGGTTTACATCTGTCTATATAGAACGCCTATGACTGTCGCATTTCTATTACCCGGCTTCATATATACAAAAGCTGGAAAGTTGCCGAGCCAAGAGAATTATAATTTATTTGTCTATATACGATTTGGAAAAGAGGCATAAAGGAACAGCTCTATGAACCCCATCTCATTTTAGCTTACTTACGATGAATCACCCCAAGCAGGCAGCAGGAAACGCGTGGCGTACCTCTATGATTTCAGCGGAAGATGGTATTTGCCTGGGCTCGATGCAGTGGCCGATGAGGCCATGTGAACAGAGATCTCCGTTTGCTCCGTCGCCTGAGGTCATATGAACTATGACATCTGAGCAGAGTTCGCAACCGAAGAGTCGCGGCTTTGGCGAGGAACAGGAGGAGGACTTTGGCTACGGTCGGTTTCCCGATCGAACTCTTGGCCAGGGGAAGAAGCCCGCGTTGAAGGGAAAAATAATCTCCAGCTTGTTTGGTTCCCAGTATAGGTGCCAGTCGATGCTGAAGGTTGCTCTAGACAGTAAGTTCCCCCGCCTCGGCACTCTGGTCGTGAGAATGTATTTTTTTAGTGAGGAAGGATGATGTAACGGCTTCAGAGAAATAACTCTAGGTGTTAATATGCACCCCGTCAAACACATGATCCTTAACATCTTTCCTTAAAGTTTACTGCGTGGTAAGTTGTAATTCTAACCTTGAAAATATATTGCCCCATCTTAAGTAACTCCAATATAGTGACCAACCAAAATGCCATGAAACTATATTTGTATAGTTATAGAAATATGTATACATTTACACACACTTTCCCATTTGACAGAATTCTTCAAAAGGCAAAACGGGGAAGAAAAAATTGAGAAAAGATGGAAAGATCCATAATTTTACAGCATGTATTTCAATCATGATGTGGGAAGTCAGCCCCCCCCCCCAGAGAATGAAATATTAAAAGGACAGAAAAATATATTTCCTCAAAAGGATTTTAAAAGCAGAAACCAACCCTACCCCGAAGTCTCTCTGTCCCAAGCAGAAGCCAGCTCTGTATAAATGCAGATGTAAACCATCAGGAAAGTTGGAGCTAGAAGCTTAGGAAGACAAAGACACGTAAAATATGCATATCCCACCCAAACTCTAAGAATCATTAGCCCCAGCACCAGGGAAGCAGAACATAACTCTTGAGACATAATAGGATTAACCCACCACCATTAAGAATACCAGAAAGGCACATCCAGACTCAGGTCAGAATACTGTGACACAGGAAATACAAAGCCTGAAACAGTAACAAGAAACTACTTCAAACAAAAGGCTCCAGAGGATATAAAAAACCACTATCCACATGTGCTCAGCCCTCTTTTCTCTCCTCTTTCCTGCCAGAACCATCTTTCGGTCTGGCTCTTCAATAAACTGCAACCTTCTTTCTAAAGCAGTCATCATGTTGTTTATCCCCGGCTTGGACTGGACCATGATGAAGACTTTTCCTTCAACAATGAGATCTGCAGAGTTCCAAAATAGAAGTTGAGAACTTAATGCAGAATTAGAATAGAATAGAATAACAGAGTTGGAAGTGACTTGGAGGTCTTCTAGTCCAACCCCCAGCTCAGGCAGGAAATCCTAAACCATTTCAGACAAATGGTTGTCCAATCTCTTCTTAAAAACTTCCAGTGTTGGAGCATTCACAACTTCTGGAGGCAGGTTGTTCCACTGATTAATTGTTCTCTCAGGAAATTTCTCCTTAATTCTAGGTTGCATCTCTCCTTGATTAGTTTCCATTCATTGTTTCTTGTCCTGTCTTCAGGTGCTTTGGAGCAGGGGTCCCCAACTCTTGGTCCATGGACCGGTACCAGGCCGCAGCATGCCAGCAACTAGTCCGCACAAAAAAGCAAAACCCCATCCGTGGGATGCAGACAGCACACAACCCCCCCCCCCTCCAGTCCATGGAAAAACCTCTGTCCACGGAACCATTCTCTGGTGCCTAAAAGGTTGGGGGCCTCTGCTTTGGAGAATAGCTTGACTCCCTCTTTTTTGTGGCAATCCCTGAGATATTGGAACATTGCTATCATGTCACCCCTCGTCCTTCTCTTCAGTTCCAGCAGCCATTCTTTATCCTTTAGCCTCCAGTCCCCTGATCATCTTTGTTGTTCTTCTCTGCACTCTTTCTAGAGTCTCAACATCTTTTTTACATTGTGGTGACCAAAACTAGATGCAGTATTCCAAGTGTGGCCTTACCAAGGCATTATAAAGTGGTATTAACACTTCATGTGATGTTGATTCTATCCCTTTGTTAATGCAGCCCAGCATACTGCTGGCTCATATTTTAAGTGATTGTTCACTAGGACTCCAAGATCTCTCTCACAGTTACTACTATTAAGTGAGGTGCCACCTACACTGTACCTGTGCATTTAGTTTTTCTTGCCTATATATAGAACTTTACTTTTTTCAACATTGAATTTCAACATTAAATTTCATTTGTTTAGATAGCGCCCAATGTTCAAGTCTGCCAAGATCGTTCTGTATCTTAAGCCTATTTTCTGGAGTGTTGGGTATTCCTGTCAGCTTGGTGTCATCTGTAAATTAGATGAGTTCCCCATCTATCACCTCATCCAAATCATTGATGAAAATATTGAAGTATACTAGGTATAAAACAGAGCCTTGGGCTACCCCACTGCATATTTCCCTCCACATAGATGCAGTTTCATTGAGGACTATATGTTGAGTGTAGTTATGAATTTATCTGGTGGTAATGCTTCTAACCCACATCTTTCTATCTTATCAAGTAGGCTGTGGTCTACATTAGCAAATGCCTTACTGAAGTCCAAGTAAGTTATATCCACAGCATTCCTTTGGTCCACAAATTTTGTCACCTTGTCAAAGAATGCAATAAGATTTGACTTGCATGATCTGTTTTTGACAAACCCATGTTGGCTTTTGGCTTTGACTTTGTTTGCCTCTAGGTGTTCACTGATTTGTTGCTTGATTATCTTTTCCAGAATCTTCCCAGGTATTGAGGTCAGGCTGATAGGTCTGTAGTTTTCTGGATCTATTTTTTTTCCCTTTTTTGAAGATGGGAGCTACATTAGCAATGGAGATAGCAGTCACCTTTGTCTTGTATATTTTTTTATAGTAACATTCTCTGTAAAATCCCCATTTACAATTACTTTGGCTATTTATCTAAAATATATTTTTTGATTATATTTATATTTTTTTCTCCAAAGTCCATCCAGTTTAATTGTTATAACATAAATTGCCAATTTATGTTATCAGAGGCTTTCTGTGCATCTAGTAAAATTAGTGCCATTTGTTTCCCTGGATGCATTTCATAATATTCCAGTGTATCCAAAATAATTCTTAAATTATTTTTTATTTGCGTCTTTGGTAAAAATCCATTTTGATCTGGATGGATAAATTCAATCAAAAATCTCTCTTATTGAAAGAAAAAAAATATAATCCACGTTTAGTAGTGATATTGGTCTGTAGTTCTTTATCTCAGTCAGATCTAAGTCTTCTTTTGGAATTAAGGTAATATTAGCTTCTGTCCAGGTATTTGATAGTTTGGCCTCTGATAGTACCTCATTACAGACTTCTTTCATTGATAGGCTTAATATGTCTTGTAGACATTTATAAACTCTGCTGGTAGCCCATCTGCTCCTGGAGTCATCTCATTTTTTTGTCTTTTTATAGTCTTCATCAATTCCATCAGTTATTTTTTCATTTAACATATTTTTAAAATCTTCAGGTATTTTTGATAATTTGGCTTTTTCATATATTGAATTATTTTTTCTTTAGCAATTTCTTCTGTGTCATATAATTTTTCATAAAATTCTTTAACTATTTTTTTATTGTTTCATTTTGAAATTGTAAATATCCTTTCCCATCTTGTAGTTTATTTATCAATTTCTTCTCCTTTTCTTTTTTCAATTTATAGGCTAATCATCTACCTGCTTTATTAGCATTTTCAAAAAAGTTTTGTTTTGCCCTTTTAATTTGTTGGGCCATTTCTTCTGCTTCTGTTAAGTTTAGTTTATGTTTTATTATCTCCATTTGCTTTTTAAATTTTTTCTTTTGTCGGTCTGCTTGTAATTCTAATTCCAGTTTTTAAAATTTTCCTTTAACTTTGTATGTTGTTGTTTTTTTCCTTATTTTTTGCCATATAAGTTATAGCTAAGCCTCTGAAGTATGCTTTGGCTGTATCCCACACATTTGAAGCAATGTGTCTTCTTTCTTATTTTCTTTAAAAAAAGAATTCCATTTCCTTTGCCGCTATTTGTATAAATTCTTTCTCTTTTAATAAAGCTTGATTCAATGACCATCTAAATTTTTTCTTTATTCCTTTCCAAGTCATCTTTATTGGATTATGATCTGCCCATATATTGGTTTCTATCTCAATCTCATGTATATTCATTCTTAGCTCAGAGGATAACCATATCATATCAATTCTGGACCATGATTTGTGCTTATTCGAATAAAATGTATGCAGGGATTTTTTTTGGATTTTTTTCTCTCCACATATCCTGTATACAGATTTCTTCTGCCATCTTGAGAAAAGTTTTAGGTCCGTGGTGGCAAACGTATGGCACGCGTGCCACCGGTGGCACGCAGAGCCCTTTATGTGGGCACGCGCACCATTGCCCCAGAGGGATGCACGTGTTTGGACTTTGGGAAGGCGAACAAGGGAAGCAGCAGGAGTTTGGACTTTGGAGAAATGGTGAGAGAAGGGTGAATGAGTGAAGCAGAAAGAGCTTGGAGGAAACGGGGGGAGTGTGAATGAATGGAGCAGAATGAGCTTGGAAGAAATGGGAGAAGCGTGAATGAATGGAGCAGAAAGAGCTTGGAGGAAATGGGGGGAAGTGTGAATGAACAGAGCAGAAAGAGCTTGGAGAAAACGGGAGAAGTGAATGAACGGAGCAGAAAGAGCTTGGAGGAAACGGGGAGAAGTGTAAATGAGTGGAGCAGAAAGTTGGAGGAAACGGGGAGAAGTGTGAATGAACGGAGCAGAAAGTGCTTGGAGGAAACGGGGAAGTATGAATTAGCGGAGCAGAAAGAGCTTGGAGGAAACGGGAAGTGTGAATTAACAGAGCAGAAAGAGCTTGGAGGAAAGGGGGGGGCGAATTGTGAATGAACGAAGCAGAAAGAGTTTGGAGGAAACGGGGAGAAGTGTGAATGAATGGAGCAGAAAGAGCTTGAAATGGGGGAGAAGTGTGAATGAACAGAGCAGAAAGTAATTAATATAATAATAGATAGCAATAGCAATAGTAAGTATGATTATAATAAACAATATTAATTAATCAGTCTCTAACCGTGGTGGCGAACTTATGGCATGCTTGCCA